AAAAATAAAATGAAACAGTGATGTTATGATTGTTTTTATTTTAAACTTGTTAATCTTCACAAATACTAAAGAGGGTTTTTTTTTTTGCGGTATGTTAAAGATAAGCAACTGATCAACTTTAGACGAAACGCTATAAATGGTTTTGATGTTCAAAACTGTCCGCGGGCCAGGCAGGAGTGGCTTGCGGGCCGTATGTGGCCCTCGGGCCGCACTTTGCCCAGGTCTGTCCTAGCAGGTGGGTCCAGCTTGGGGGCTGGCAAAGAGGAAATAAAGGGAGGGATAGGAGGAGGAGGAGGACGGGGGGGGACAAGTGTGAGAGGATGCATCAACAAGTGTCTGAGAGCAGGTGAGGGGGGGTGATGAGGTAGGCGGGGCATCAAGTGAGGGGGGAGGGTGACCGGGTAGGCAAAGGGGCGAGCAGGTGGGGGGGGGTGATGGGGGCCAACTGGGTGGGTGAAGGGGTCATCTGGTGGGCGAGGGCCAAGCAATTGAAGGGGGGCAACCAGATGGGCAAAGGGGCAACCAGCCAGGTGCGAGGTTTTCAAGAAGCCTGGTATTTATTTTCAAAAAAAATTCCTGCTATCTGGTGTTAGGAATTTTTAAAAAAACCAAACAGATGGGGCATTCACATATGGTAAATTGATTCCATATCTGCCCCTAGATAAAGGGACCTCTGGCAGGGGACCAGAGGGTCTCTCTCCTCTGGCCCAGTGCTCTATGTGTGCACATGCAATGTGTGTATGCTAAAATGTAAAGTTTTTTTGTTGTTATTTTAAAGGAGAACCCCGTTACAGAAGAGGGAATTTATTTTGTCAGTGGGATCACTCCATTGGTTTTGATGGGGGAAGGGGAATACAGGCCCATGTGATGTGCCTCTCACTAAATAAATAGCACCAAGCCTAGAAGGGCATTTTCCATATGAAAATGAGTGGGATGTGTGAGGGCCGATGAAATGCTTTCCCCTCTCCCCCATGGCTTCAAACAAACTGGCAGGCTCCTGTGGTTGCTGTTATTAAAAAGAATAGTCTGTCACAGACCTCATGCGCAAGATGACGTTTTTCTTCAAAATGAGTAGCTCTATTAGCTTGCTGCAGCTAAAATACTACTACAGTGTTCTGTCAAAAACAAAAGAAACGTTAAAAAACAAAGAAGAAAACATTCCGGCATCTCAAAGACTAGCTGCTGTATTTTACTCTGAGCTTTCATGAATAACTTCATTTTCTCAGACATAAGAGTGGGGACTATATGGAAGATGTTTATACATTTATACAAAGAGACTTTTTGTTTCCTGGGTTCAAGTTGTCGATTATGTAGCATTCCCCCTACGTCTGCATTGACTTGATGGCACGTGATTATTATAAGCTGGCTGGATAGCTGAGTGGAATAGGTATCTGGCTACAGAGCCAGAGGTTGGGAGTTTGATTCCCCACTGTGCCCCATATTAGTAAAGCCAGCCTGTGTGGCCTTGGGGAAGCTTCAGAGTCCCAGGTCCCTTCAGAGGAAGGTAATGGTAAACCATTTCTGAATACTTTCTTCCTAAAAAACCTTGAAAAGGGTTGCCATAAGTCAGAATTGACTTGACGGTACACATTTATTATTAATAATAACTTTACTCCAGATTATATTCATTTTCCCTCTCAGGAAGCATTGTTCTGTAAACTATAGCAATGATTGTGGTTAAATTGGCCCCAAATTATAGATAACAGGCAGGAACAACATGGCAATGAGTATCTCTAATTACCAAAGAGGCTTCTAAGGTGGATCTGTCTAGTTAGGAAGGAAATATAGCTGGGAAATACAACAGATACCACACAGTTATTGCAGAATTTTACATTTTACGATGGCCTAAGAAACACTGGCTAATATTGAGTCCAAAGAGATGGGTTTTAAACATATGTATATATTTTATCTCAGCTGTTTCTCTCTGGATTCTTGTCCTATAAATTTTCTTTTCCATAATGGCAATTGTTTGGTTTTTTGTGTGTCCTGTGGTTTGCTTTGCTTTGGAGACAGAGTGGGTTGCTCCTTTTTTCAACAACTACATGATGTACAGCCAGTAGTGAGCCAGCCCACTCCTTCCTGCAACTTTAACAGAGTAGTGCAAATATTTAGGAATTCTACCCCTTCTGGTCATTGGTCCTCTCAATGAAGAAAATCACAGACTCAGCAGTTTCTTCCACCAAATCTATTCACAGGTATTTACACCACCACGAACAACAACAAAAATCACACAGCAGTCTTGTGGCATCTCTGTCCTCAGTCCTCAAGCCTTTGAGAGTTCACAGAGCTTTCAGAGCTTTAGACCAAGTTTTTCACATTGCCTTTCTACTTCAGTCAACCTATTAGATTTGACATTACATCATCTATTGCATCAGCGGTGCAGATTCAGCGTGACTCAGCACTTTCTGTTACATGGTATACTTATGCCCTATTCTGTCCATGCTTGTAAATTCTGCTTCCATTTTTATTTCACTATCCTGACAAACTTTTTAGATCTTTGTCAAAGAATACTATTGTTTGTTTTAGTGATGATATGATTGTTCTGTTTTGGGTTGTTTCCAGCATGTGTCATTGCCAAAACTGAACCAAAGCAGATGGCTCAAATTGTCACTTTGCTTGAGCCACTTCAGGATCTAATCAAATGGGACACTGCACCTGTGTGACCTTAAATGACCCTATTTAACCTGATCTAGCCTGATCCAATTTGACTGCATAGCTGCATCTGAAGACTAACAGATTTATTAGAGGATGAACTTTCATAGATGACAGACCCCTCTCTCAGATTCCCTATATTCTAAAGGTTCAGGTCTCTGTATAATGCACATGGTTCAGGATGGGATTCCGATAGCTTGGTCACAGGGAACTGAAGCATAGAAACTACTTATAATAACAATTCCATTATTCATTCTTCTAGTCATTCACAAAAAAAGCTAGTCACAGAAGACTGCAATGGGTTAAGACAGTCATCACAGGTTGGGATCTGTGAACTGTTTGCAGCCTTTTTAAAACGTAAAGTGGAGGCCACCCACTGGGACCTAGATAGCTCTTCTTTATCACTAGATGGTGCCAAGACATCCCATGCATCACCTTGTCTGATAATCTTAACACAACTTCAGCCCGTGACATCAACTAAGGAGAGACCCATTAAGCCAATCCGGAAAAAAACAACTTGCCAGCTGATGATATTAACAACTATCATCCAGTTGCCAACATTCCCTTTCTTGGCAAGCTGACGGAGAGAGTGGTGGCCAATCAGCTTCAGGCTCTCCTGGAGGAGACCAATGCCCTTGATCCATTCCAGTCCGGGTTTAGACTCAAAAGGTCATCTTGCAGGGCAACCAATGCACGGAGACAGCATTGGTTGTCCTGCAAGATGACCTTTTGAGGGAGGCTGATGGGCCTTCTTGACCTCTCAGCGGCCTTTGATACCATCGACCACAGTATCCTCCTGGGGAGGCTCTTGGGGTTGGGGATCAGTGGTCAGGCTTTGGCCTGGCTCCAATCCTTCTTAGAGGACCATCCTCAGAGAGTTCAGCTTGGGAAGATGTTGTCCACTCCATGGACTCTCAGTTGTGGAGTCCTGCAGGGGTCAATCTGTTGAGGGAGGCCATTGGGAGTTTTCAGGCTCCAATATGTGGATGACACTCAGCTCTAACTCTCCTTCCACCCTTCTGCAATGGATGCTGTTCTGTCCCTTGAGCGCTGCCTGGATGCGGTGCTGGGATGAATGAGAGATAACAGACTGAGGCTGAACCCAGACAAGACGGAAATCCTGCGGGTTGGGGCCCCTAATGCCTGTGTTTTTTAAAAATGTATTTATTTATTTTTTGCAACTGCATCAGGATGTTTTAGGTTTAGATATTTGGGTTTTAGTTGTGAACCTGCGAATCAGCCACGGAGAACACGACATGCAAGAAGCTTCCATTGACCTTTAAGTGCTTCTCTGGTTCATTTGCCAACTGTGAGCATTACTCATACACTCATAAAATAATCTGTGGTACAATCATATTTTCCTGTTATGCCTTTTTCTACACATGGCAAAACATCAGCCTTCTTATCGCACAACGAGTCGCACAACTGATCCAGAAACCTATGCAAGAGTGGGCAGGTATCAAGGGGCAAGCTGGACTCGGGGTGCTGATTTTCCTTCTGCTCTGTATTTAGGCAACTGGGTAATCTCCAATATCATCATCATCATTATACCTGATAATTAGTTTAAGGTACCCAGTAATGAGATATCTCTACACATGTCTTGCTGCCCAAGACAGAAGCATGTTGGTTTGCCTTTACCTCCAGATGGTAATGGGAGGAAGCCTGTTCCTGTTTCAAGAGCC